TATGTATGTATGTATGTATGTATGTATGTATGTATGTATGTATGTATGTATGTATGTATGTATGTATGTATGTATATACATATAAAGACAGACGTTTCAAAAGTTTCGTAATGAGAAACATTTGACTTGGAAAAATGCTTCTTCTGCTGGAATTTGGACGGCTAATTTAAACGTTTACCTGAGCAACAATATGAAGAATTAGTGTTGTTACTCTTTGGTTAGTTGAAGACCAGTTTTGGGTACTCTCTCTACCCACACACGTCTGGTCATCTTACATCCAGCTGTACAAATAGCCCCTGCTCACTCAGCACTTTGTCATATTTATAGAATAATATTAAAATTATTCCATTATTCCAGAGTCAGTAACCATAACTTACCTGCTTCACCAGATACTGTCTTATTTGGTTGTAATGTTGTTTGTCTACGTGTCTTGAAATAACGTCCAGAGACGACAGGCATCCTTCTAGACACTCCATCGTGTCTTCTCGCGAAATAAAACAAAACAAAACAAAAACAAGACAAACGCTTTTCCAAAGTGACCACCACTAAAGAGAAACACACAGATTTTCACGGGCTCGTGTATCACACTGCCATCACTGCTGTTACAGGAATAAACCTTCTCCACATGTGCGTTAAACAGCTACTATTTCCGGGTCGAGCGCCTCCTCTTTGTGTCGCGCGGTGATGACGCGACGCAAAGCGACGCTCAGTTGAAGCAGCCACTTTTCTGCTCTCCGCCGTTTTCTTCTCCTTCAGCTGAAAATAAGGCGAAACGCATGGTGATTCTGCATGTGCTGGTCCAGTTGGACCCTCTTGATGTTTAATTCTGTTGTTTTAGGATCTTTTCCTTGTAAGTTCCGTTAAGAAGAAACTATAAACACTCAGAACGTTGGCATACCGCGGGAAAATGTCGTTACTTCCTGTGTAACGAGGTCTTGGCGCGACTCGACTGTAGTAAACAACAGGAGGACACATCCAGTTCTCATGCAAGTAAGTCAACAGTTTAAACGGGATTTTATTTGTTCTTTTTGGGTTTATACTGGGTTTAGTTTAAAACCGGAAACTTTTCTGTAGCGTTAACTGAAATTTGGACATTTCTGTTTATGAACTTTTTGTGGATATGGAACAAAATCGATTAACCCACCAAACCATGTTTATTATATCAGTAGCTTTTTGAAATTAGGTTCAGTCTTTACAAAAACTGAAATAGTTTACACCCGGTGAGTTGTGTTGTCTCATAATGTTGAAGCTGCAGGTTTGAGTCCAGGACAGGCTTCCAGCAGGGCTCATATCTTTCATGAAGGTTTGCTCGATGTGGAGACCCCTGAAAAGTAAAGTTTTATTTATATAGCACCTTTCATAGAAATAGATTCACAAGATGCTGTACAATCAGAGGTAGATCAAAATAAATACAATCAGAACAGGATATACAACAATTTGGAACAAAAAATTATAAAAGCTGTACAACCATCAAAGTATCAAGACTGTGCAATCTGAAAATTGAAACAAGTAAATAATATCTAGACAAAAGTGGGGAGGGCAGAGTAAAACATTAACATATTAAGATGAAGGATTTTAAAATCAGAAATGAATTTGGAGGCAGGTCTCCAAATGGGTAGATTGTGGAGTACTGGTGTATTTTAGAAAAATACATTTTTTGATCAATTGAAATGATTTTGGATGAAAATACTGGCTGTTTGACATATAATTAATATGATAATATATAATTAATATGATGAATTGTACAATGGGTAAGAGATGTCAGGGAAATCTTTGGTAATCTGAGCCAGGGGGCGGATGTATAGAAGGAAAAGAATGGGCCCAAAATGGACCCCTGTGGTACTCCGCAAGAGAGTGGTGCTGAGTCAGAGAAAGACTGACGTAGTTTGACTGAGAAAGAGAAAAGGGTAGCAACCAGAAGAAAAGCAACACAAATCTTGAGGGGAGGTTGGGACTCGCCAATTCATTCGTATTTGCAAAATGCCTGCATAGTGGGATCATTTTTTTGTTACTTTTTTCAAAGTCACAAGTTTACTTTTTTTTACCCCCAGTCTGATTGAATCACAGGGACACGGAGAAAAACCTGGCAAACAATCATTCACTCACACCTACGGACATTAGTTACCAGTTAACCCAACAATGCTTGTTTTTTGTCTGTGGGAGGGAACTGGAGTGAACAAGACTACGAGAGTCTAAAATATTTGAAAAGTCTTTGACAGCTTGGTGAGACAACACAAGTGATTATTAGAATCAACAACTAAAACATGGTCATATTTTGGCATAATTCCAGCCAAAAGTCAGAAAATCATGTATCCATATTCTGTTACCAAGGAGGTAAATAAAGATTCAGCTGCATCTGTGACAGCAGGCGTATTGTAGCCCATGACTGAGTTTCTAACTTTTTAAGTTTTTAATAATTATTGACATCAGCCATATAATAACCAGTACTTGTTTATCTCTTTTTTTTTTTTTAGTCAAGTTGTCTGTTCTCAGATAGCCACCATCAGCAATAAAACCTCAAAAAGTGTCTTGTTTGTTTTTGTTCCCAGGTATTCCTAAAAGAAAATTTGACAAGATGGATTATATCGATGGTTCTGGTTGTAAGTATGGAATAATTTAACATGAATTGTTACATTAATTCTATATTTTTAAACTTTGGTTTTCAGTAATACATATATATATATATATATACATGGGGTAAAATAAGTATTGAACACGTCA